CGCCGAGGAGCGGCGCACAGCCGCAGGTTGCCCGTTCTGGTTTACTGGGGCGTGGCTGAGACTACAGCCGGCATGCGGCCCCTCGGGTAGCTCTAGGGGCCCGCTCGCAGGGGGGAGGGAGGAACCAAGACACAGGAGTCTGTGCTGGAAAAAAGAAAACGTCGAGGCGAACATCAACACATTTCTGCTGGTCACAGAAAGCAGACCTCTCGTTCGTGCTTTAGTGCTTTTCTGTGTGTGGGAAGATGCAAGACCCTGGACTCCTCGAAATCGTTCCTTGCATGTGCCTCTTAACTGCTTAGGTCAGCGTCCTGCCCTTCTCCATCCTGAACTCCCTTCAGGGCAAACAGCAGGTTGGCTGCAGTGGCTGATGGCTTGATGGGGGCCACATTCTTTGTCCACAGGGGTGTTGGAGACTGGCTCTCAGTGACCTTTCACTCCAGTGAGCCTGGAAACAGCATTCTCAGCCGGTGATAAAACTGGCCAGTGATTTAGAGAGGAGCTGGTGGGAGGTGGGACTGAGATCCCCAGATAGCCGGTTCCAGGTCTGAGGAGGTGACCTCTGAGCGGAGTCCTGAGTGCTAAGCTGTGGGGAGGCCGGCGGAGCAGTGGCCTTGAGGAGGAGTATTTGTTCAAGAACAGAGAGACGACTGGTGTCTGGCTCCAAGGGAGTGCAGGACAGTCCCAGGCCATGCTTGGGCGGAGAGGAAGAAGACTCACTATGTCAATGAAGTTTCCTTGAAGCGTAACAGTCAGGTGGGGGCCCAGTCACACCGCACAGCTCAGTCACGTTCACAGAGTCAGCTCGCCCGTGTTACCAATGCCAGCTCTCCAGAAGCCGCCCTCAGGAGGACCACTGGTTCCTTAGAACTTTGAACTGTAGGTGGCCATTAGAGATCTCTGGCCCACATGGTCAGTGGTGGGACTGAGATCCATGTTTTCCATGACAGAAGACCCCAGACGAGAAGGGCACTTGAAATTCCGAAGAGGGCCCCTGGCGCCAGGGCAGGTGCTCTTGGGGGAGTGACTCTGGGTGGAAGGGTGCGTCCCCATGAGCCGAAGGTGGTCAAGCCTTCAGGCAGAATTCAAGGTGGGGCAGGGGGCCCAGCTGAGGGTTAGGGTCCTGCCCTAGGATCCAGCAAGGCCGGAGTTGTAGCCCTGGCAGCCAGAGGCAGGCGTCAGCCGTGGTCAGGGAAGGATTTCCTGGGTGTGTGTGTGGGAAGGTCTTTTGTGCCCTCTCCCTCCCCTCCAGAGTCCGACGGGGCTGTGCAGTTGGAGAGATCTGGGAGCATTTTGGGGGACAGGTCAGGGTGACCCTCTTTGGTTGACATTCCATTTTTTTCCACCGTTACCCTTGTTGGTACAGTTAAGCTCCCTGTTGCCAACAACATCCAACACTGGGTATTTGTCGTGCCTCCTCCTCCGTCAGAACCTTTGCTTTGGAAAGATGTCAGTCTTGGGCCTGAGTGAGTGGGAAGGTGTTTCTTCACCCCACGGTGTCTGAGCTGCAAGATCTCAGCCCAGAGCCGTCTGGCGGGGGTGCAGCCTGTCACATTTAGGATGTAAACGCCTCTGGTAGCCACATTTTACCAAGAAAGAGAGAACCAGTGACGTCGCTGTTAACAACACGTCTTATTTAACGCAACACCTAAACAGTGTCACCCCGGCAGGTGCGCCGCGGTCCTCGTGGCCTCGCATGTGGCGTGGGCACAGTGCCCCTGACCGGCTATCTTCTGGGCCAGCTCCAGCTGGAATGATATGTTGGTTTTGTTTTTAGCTTGAAAAGGTCCCTGCTGGTGAGAAGAGCGTCCCTGCTTTGGCCACACGAACCGGGGCCCTTCCTGCCCTGAACTCCAGGGCTGGAGCACGAGGCCCGCTGGCTGGTGGTGGGTGGGAGTGGGACTGAGGGCTCCTAGGGTGCTGACTTCCTGGAGAAGCCAGCCCGCCAGGCACAGCCGGGGAGCCCCTTTCATGTCCGTCTTGGGGGTGGTGTGTCACGAGGTGCGCACCAGTTACTTGGTCTGTAAAATGGGAGCTTTGTAAACTATAAAGTGCAGTCCTCCTGAGGGTGGGTGGTCTGCAGAAGGCAGGGTCCTGTGTTCAGAAGCATCGAGGCCCTGCTGGGGGTGTCCCTTGAGGTGCGCAGTCTCCACTTGTGACTCATTTGTGACCATTTGGGAGGCAAGCCCCAGGGGCAGGTAGGAGACTTCTCGGCTGCCTTACCACGTCAGAGTAAGCGTCAACCTACTTTATTGGACGACTTATTCTGTGAAGCTTGCAAGGATGTGATTATTGTCATCAGTGTTTTTCCCGTGGGGGGAGGTTTTTTCATTTATTAATTTTTTTTATTGGAGGTACCAGGGATTGAACCCAGGACCTCGTGTATGCTTGGCATGCGCTCTGCCCCTGAGCTATACCCTCCCCTGTCTTCAGTGATTTCTGGATCAGAGGCCAGAGAGCAGGTTGGCTTCTCCGGCTCTGTGTGACCGTGGGCACGCCAAGTAGCCGTGGCTTCTTCTGCCTCCACCGAGGGTTGAGGTGATCACGTGGCTTCTCCGCCCCCACCTGTCAGTCTGGCGACTTGCACTGACGTCTGTCCTAAGGTCTCACCAGCCCTGCATTCCAGGGGCGACCCCGACTTGGTCCTGGGTGTTCTTGTTGTTGCTGGATTTGATTTGCTGTCATTTTGTTGAGACTCTCATTGGCCACATTCCCGAGGAATAGAGAGATTGTGTGGAATCTCCTTAAATATTTGGTAGGGGAGGCGGGGTGTAGCTCAGGCGGTAGATCGAGTGCTTAGCATGCACAAGGTTCTGGGTTCAATCCCCAGTACCTCCTCTTAAAAGAAAAGTAAATTGTGGGGTCAGGTCCAGTAATGGGTACAGGACTGCGTCGTCTCAAGTGAATTTTGGCAGCTGTGTGTTTCCAGGACTGGGGGAGCGGGTGGCGGTTTCCCCTGAGCTGTGGGGCTGTGGGCGTGGTCTCAGCGCCCCCTGAGGACCCAGGACGGCTGTGAGGTCGGCAGGGTGGCCTCATCTATTCCTGATAATTCATCTCTTCCCCCTTTTTTTCTGGTCATTGTGGCTAGAGGTTTATTGATTTTATTTTTTCCCAAAGAGCAAGCTTTAGGTTGGGGATTTTTTCCCCTTTATTTTTCTGTTTCCAGTTTGATTGATGTGGCTTTCATTTTTCCTCTCTGCTGGCCTTGAGATTGCTTTACTCCTTATTCTGCTTTCACAAGGCTTCTGTTGCTGCCTTGAGACTTTGCTCCGTCGGTGTGAGCTGTGCTTCTCCCTCCCAGTCCTGCGTCCCACAACTCTTGTTAGGTCGTTTTTCCATTTTCACTCAAACTGTTTTAGAGTTTTCCCTCAGACTTTCTCTCCGACCCGTGGAGTACCTGGAAATGCGTCTTTAACAAGCATCTCTCTGTTACTGGTTTCTAGTTTGATTCTGTTGTGGTTCAAGAACATATTTGCTTATTCTTGTTTTTCAGTGTGTGCAGTTGTAACACTTTTTTATAGAAGTACAGCCAACTTGCAGTGTTGTTAGTCTCTGACGTGCAGCATGGTGATTCAGTTGCACACACATATACCTTTTTCATATTCTTTTTCACTAGAGGTTATTACAAGGTATTGAATATAGTTCCCTGTGCTGCACATTAGGACCTTGTTGTATCTGTGCTTTCACGTGCCCTCGCAAGGGCTGGGCCTCCTGCTGTTACGGGGGGAGGGCGGCTGGGCCCCGTGGTCGTGGTGGGGCTCAGACCCACTGCATCCTCAGGGATTTTCTGTCTACGCGATTTTGCTTCGTGTTAGCCTCAGGTTTTGCTGTTTTGTTTTGTTTAATGGAGGCACTGGGATGGAACCCAGGACCTCGTGCGTGCTAAGCAGGTGCTGTACCGCTGAGCTGCACTCCAACCCCAGCCTCAGTGTTTTCATCCGGAGAGTGGCTGGGTAAACCGGGTCACGTGGCAAGAACAGCTACCACCTGGCAAGGTTTCCTCACATCACCTCACTTAGGCTCTGTGACAGTCCCAGGGTGGAGGCACTCCCACCACCGAGGTTTGCCCTGGCTTCCTCTGGGCGTGGGCTTGGCCAGTCTGGGGCAGACGCTGTCCCAGGATGGGCCCTGCCTCTGCCAGGGTGGCCAAGGCTGGGTCAGCTGACCTCCTGGCATCGCTGCCTTTGACGCTGAGTGTGTTCTTAGACGGATGGGCTCAGCGCCAACCTAGAGGGGCCTGTCCTGGGCCCCTTCTGTTTGGGTGTCACAGTGTGACCCTGGGGCTGAGTCCCTGCCGCGTCCACGCTCCCTCAGTAAAGTGGGCAGTCGGTAGCTGACCCCCCCACGTGGGAGCGCATGGCCCCTGGTTGCGGTAGGTCGTGCCCCCCTCCTCCCCGCTGTTCAAACTCAGAGACTCTGCAGTCTGTCACCTCGAGGGGTTCCTTTCTTAGAATTACTGGGTAGCAGGCCAGGACTCCTGCAGCTTAATGAGGCTGGGGCAGAGGGGTGACAGGGGGACCCTCCTCTTAGTCAGGGTGGCCCACAGGTGTGCGGGGTGAGGGCATGAGGGGACCTGGGGCCCTCCTGCTCTGCTCCTGCCTGACCCGGGTTTTGGAGGGAGGGGGGTGACAGCCACCAGGAGTGGGAAGCCGGAGGGGCTCCCTCTGCTGCCCCAACCTGTCAGCATTGTCTCTGGCTCAGCAGGTCCTCTCCAGGCGACACAGATCTCCTCTCTAGGTGACCCGTGGACAACTCCCTCCCTGGGCGGGTTGACAGGTTGGCCGAGGGCTCTGGGGCCTGAGTGGGGCCGAGGCTCCAGTGCTGAGCGGCGCTGGCGGACGTGGGCTGCTGTCAGCCGGCTGGGCGACCTCTGTGTGCCTCGGTGTCCCTCCCACGCCTCTGCTCCGGGATTTCTCCTCCCCACCTGTCTGGCCTCCTTGGGAGCGGTTGGCCCCACTGCTGGAATCCGGAATCTCGAGGGGAATCCAGAATCCGGAGGGCGGGGCTGCTTGCTTATCTCCCCGTGGGCAGGCGAGGGCTATTGTCTTTCCTGGGTTGCCGCAGGTGAGGTGTGAGAGCTTTAAACAGATGTGCATTGCAGGTGGCTCAGTGTCAGATCCCCCGTTGAGTGAGTCTGGATCAAATCCTTAAAAGTATCTGAAGCATTCTGGGAGGGGACTGGATACTTTGCCCCAGGGCCCTGTGGGGAATTAGGGGGCAGTTCCCAGCTCCCGACTGACTTTTCTTTCCTGAGGTTTAATTCGCACGGGGAAATGCAGAGTCAGGCCCAGCTGGAGAGTTCTGAGCTGAGCCAGGGAGTGTTGCCATCACCCCAGAACGTCTTGCCCCCCAGGCTGCCAGCTCTCTCTGGTTCACTGTCCCCGGGGGCCCTTGACCCATCTCCGCCCTCTCAGGTGGGCCGGCCTCTGCTCTGCGCCTCACACTTGACCTTTTACCTTCTCTCCTCTTGGCCCTGCCAGCCCAAGGCCACCCGTGGGGCAGGAGGCACAGCCTGAGGGCACACGGGGTTTGCCTGGGTCTGTGGGGTTTCCTGCCCTCGCAAAGGTGGGCGTCCCCAGAGCAGCTCCTGGCCTGTAGTGAAAAGTGATGGAAGTGATGGAGCTCAAGGCTGTGTGGGCGGTGGGCCCGAGCATCTGACCCACCGGCCACCTCCCTGTGCTTCTCCGCAAATGCAGATGCGTGACGTTGGGCACATAGGGTTGGTGGTGATTGCAGGAGAGAGCGGCAGGCCTCTGTCTGCTTAGAGAGGGGCCACGGCCAGCTGCAGGCCCTGGCGTCGGGGACGTTGGCGTCACTGTGGACATGCAGGAGAAGGCAGGAGAATTCTGGCTTGGAGGAGTGATGTCCTCGGACAGAACTCTCCTTTTTTAAAAGAGAGTCTGGCTGACAGTGAACCCTTGGTCTGCAGAGATGCTGTATCAACTCGGGGGGGAACTGCCGTGGTAAACCCCGTAAGTGGTGAGAAGTGCGTCTCGCGTGCCGCCCCGAGCTGCACGTGATTCAGGGCACAGGCTGGCCAGGTGCTGATAGGAAGCGTGGTTTATGGACTTGTTGAATGGGGTGGAATTCGGGGAAGGTCAGGGCCTCAGCACCCGTTGGGTGTCCCTGGGGCTCTTCCCTGTGCACGTTCATCCCCCAGCTGAGCCTCCGGGGGACGGAGGCCTGACGAGGGAGACCGCCTTGAGTGGGTTCCACCCCCAAGTTCCTAAGAAACCGAGGAAGACCCCGCCCCCTCCTGCCGAGGCTTGTGAACGTTGCTTGATTTCTTAGGTTAAGTGGTGCCGGAAAAGTAAATTTTTATGGAGCACAGTGTCTGGCAGCTGGTGAATCTCTGGCCTCCGAAGTAGAGGGATGTGCTGGCCTTGGGGCCTTTCCTGCTTCCGCCCCAAACCAGAGGGAGGGGACCAGAGTCCCAGGAGCATAGGTGGCTAAGATGTGCCTTTAGTCCCCACGTGTTACGGATGATGAAATGAGGGCCACGGTTCCCCCAGCAAACATTCACTGTCTGTGCCAGGCAGAAGGTACGGAGATGGGGGAGAAAACGGCCCCAAGTCTTGGAGGAACAATTACAAGCTGGAGACAGATGCGCAAATAACTGTGCTGGGGTGTTCGCTGAGGACGCAAAGGAGGGTGCCGTGGAGGAGGGGACGGGGACGCTCCCCCGGGTCCTGAGGGATGGACAGGAGTGTGAGGGGTAGGGGTATTTCAGAAGCCGTTTGAAAGGCTCCAGAAGACGGTGTTTGTGGGTGATGGGGCGCAGGGAGGGTGGGGGTGAGGAGGATGGACGGGAATCCACCGCCCGTCAGGGAGCCTGGGGTGTGGGCGTGGCTGGGAGTGAGGGCAGTGGGACCTGTTGGAGGAGTTTTGAGCAGGAGAACCATGGGGTCACCACACAGGTTGGACTTGCAAGTGAGAGGAGACCAGGGGTGTTATCCTCTGAAAGGATGAACTCTGCCCCCAAACGAAAAAAAACATAAAACACCATCGAAGTAGATGCTGTGGCAAAGATCGGAACTCTCATGGACCTAGATTTACTTCCCAGGTGGGACTGGAGGGGCGCCACGAGTTACTAAAAAGAAAAAGTAGAACTCAAAGCTCGAGGTGAGGGCTCAGTAACTACTCACCACTCTAGACGCTGGAGGTGTCTCGTCTTCTTAGAGAAAGAGCTCAGCGTTGGAAACGGCCAGCTGTTTTCCTCTCTTGTCCTTGGAGGCTGCGGGGGGGGTCTCAGTTCTGTCCTTGGGGACATCTGGGCCACGTCTGGAGTCGAGTTTTGTTGCCACAGCGGTGGGGGGGGGCACTACCAGTGTGGAGCAGGCACGGGCCGCAGAGTGACCAGCCCGAGGGCAGACAAGCCGAGAGGCCATTGCTGCAGTGTCGCCGGCTCTTTCCTGGTTCTGGGAGGCTGAGCTGAGCATCTGCTGTGTGGGCGTCAGCCCCGCGGGCTTGCTCTGGGGCCTCGGACCCCCAGCAGGGGCCCGGTCACCCCGGTGGGGTCCCTGCTGCGACCGGGTGCTGGACACTCAGAGCTGCTGGCTTCCTTCCTGCGCTTCCGCCGCCGGCTTGGCCGCCCTCCGACCGGGCACTACACGGCTGGTTGGGTTTCGGCTTTTATCTTCAGATTTATGAGATTACATTAACCTTTGCTGGACTTGGATGTGCCCGAGCCGCCCGCCATGTTCCTGGAGGGTAACTTTGTTTCCGAGGTCTGGGGGGGCCGGGCAGGGCAGGCGGGCTCCCGCTGACGCCAGCTCTGTCCCCGCAGGCAGACCTCTGCATTATGACCCGGCTGCTGGGCTACGTGGACCCCTCAGATCCCCGCTTTGTGGCTGCAGTCCTCGCCATCGCTTTCAATCCGCTCTTCTGGAATGTGGTAAGTGTCCTGGCGGGCTGTGCGGACGGACAGACGGACGGATGGCTCTTCCCTGCCCCCCCGCCGTCTGTCTGGCCCGTGTGGGATCATCCCCTCTGCTTCCCCACTGAGATCGGCACCAGTTAGAGGGCGTTGACTGGGGAAGCCCCTCTCCTCAGGGGACCCCACGACGTGGTGGTACCAACAGACGGCCCTGGGCCGCAGCGGGGCTGCCCGTGTGTGCCGGCGGATCCCGGTCTTCTGGCTGGTGGGGCGATGGTCTCAGTGGGGTGTGCCCCTCTGCCACGCCCCAGGGGAGCCACTTGTGACTCCCCGCCCTGAGGACGCGCTTTGGAAGCTTTTCCTAAGTGAGGCTCCCTGCAGAGCTGTCTGCATCCCCCAGAGCACCTGCAGAGCGGCACCCGGCTCTTCCGTGGGTGCGCGGGACGTGGAGGACCGGGGCAGGGTGGCTGGGCTGAGTGGTAGGTGGGCTCTGGGCTGTGCCTCCTGCCATCCTTTCTCTGAGACGCCTCTCTCCTGCCAAGATGTGGGGGCACCTCTAGGGGTTTCTGGCCCATTGCCCGTGGTGGCATCTCTGGAGACACAGAGCAGGGCGGCAGGGTGGTCTGGGGCCGCTCCCCGAAGCTCCTGCCCTGCACCCACTGGTACGGAACCCGGACGCCCTGGGCCCCCCTGGGCCCTCCTGGAGGGCGGCCTGATGAGCGAGGCAGGCCCAGTTCAGCACAGGCTGTTCAGAACTGCGCTCATCTCAGGTGGCCTCTTGCTCCCAGGAGCAGAACAGGACGTGTTTGTATCTGGTTGAGGAGTTAGGCCTTTTCTTCATCGGGGAGAGCGGGTAGGGGCCGAGTGCTCACCTCAAAGAGGCTGTGTTCCACTCACGTCCTGACAGATGCGTCCCTCCTTCTGGGGGTTAATGCACCTCCCTTTTAACACACTCCACTAGTCTCCTGTGCCGCCAGAACTAATTGTGACAAACTGGGTAGTTTAAAGCAGCCGGGATATGTTCCCCCCTCCCCTGCCTCCGCTCTGGAGGCCAGAAGCCTGAAATCAGTACACCAGGCCTGGGTCCGGGTGTGGGTAGGGCCACGCTGCCCCCAGGCTGTGGGGGTGGGTCCCCGGGAGACGCTGGTTCCAACGGCTGCACCTCCCTTGGCTCCCCCAGTCTTCACACTCCCTCTGCCTCCCTCCTGCAAGGAAGCACGTGACTGGGGCCCCGAGGAGCCAGGACAACGCCCACCTCCAGACCCCGGAGGCAGGCTGAAGCAAGGCAGCCTCCCCAGGTTCTGTGGTCAGATGTGGACATCACGGAGGCCGGCTTTCAGCTGCTACACCCTCTACCCTTCATTGCCTGGTGCTGCTGGAGGGAAAGGTGCACGGGGTGTGAGGGCAAGGGCGAAGGGCAAGCAGGATCTCCGTGGGGTGCAGCGTGGCGACTCCAGCTCTGGTGGGAGGCCTGTGTCAGGTCAGGGCTGCTCAGGCAGAGACCAGGGAGGCCGGAGGATGGTTGGGGCAAAGCAAGCTCTAGACTTCCACTCAGGCCCTCCTGCCCGAGGCCACAGGATCCTTCCTCTGGCTGTTCGTCGGTATCCTTTCATATCCTTTGTAATAACCTGTAACCCGTGAGTAAACTGGTTTCTGGAGCTCGCGGAGCTGGGACGGCCGTGTCGC